TGCTGAACGGGAATAAAAGCGCGAGGTGCCCCACGCGTGGAGACCCCCAGCAGAGCGAGCACCAGGCTGCACGCAGAGCTCCCGCATCGCTGCCCAGAACTGGGTCTATCCCCTTTGTTTTGTTTGCTTTTTTATATCCCAGACAGGGTAGCGAGGCACAGAGAGGTTAACAGCAAAAGAGAAAACTGCAGGCTCGGGGAGCAGAGCCAGAGCCCGGAGGAGAGAGCCCTGCTGGACACGGGAGCTTCCCGGGAATGTGTGCTGAGGTGTGGCCCATCCCTTGGGACAGCTGTGCAATGCCAGCCCCATGGTTCGAGGCGGGAGACGACCCTTCCGCAGTGGTGGAAGCTTTCTGTCACCCTTCTCCAGGTGGCACAGATGAGACAGAACTAAAGGCTGGGCCAGGAGCACGGGACACAGCATCCTGCCACTGGCCTGAGGCAGGGAAGTTTCCCTGTGGAGCTTTCCCCTGCCACAAAGCCCGAAGCACAGCAGCGCTGTGGAGCGCAGGATGGAACCACGGGGGGTGACAAGTCCCCTGCCATGCTCAGCTGAGACACAGAAACCTGCACTCACTGCTCCAGGAGAGACGTGGCAGGTTCCAGTGACAGCCTCAGAGGGAGGATGAGCTTGCTCCTCAGCACGATGGGCTTCCCAAAGAGCCTGGTTTGGACCAGTGGGCACCTTCCTCTTGACCAAACTCAGCCAGCTCTGCTCTGGCAGCAGCAGCATGCTTTGCCAGTCGCCCAACCTGCTGCCCCCAGGACACTCAGGTGGAAGGCAGCCCAACAGTCACCTGGAGGGAAGATGGGGAAGGCTGGCAAAAACTGAAAAAAGGTGAACGAAAGAAAGCACGAGCATCTCCAGCCCTTGGAAAACTTGTCTTCTGGAATCTGAATTCTTTGGTGTAGCAGCCAGCCTGCCTTGGGGGAGCAGCTAGCACTCCTTGGCATCTCGGGGACACGGATGTCCTCGCAACTTTGTTGCTGCAAGTTTTTGCTTAAGTCTCCAGGCGAGGTATGTGTGCGTGTTCTCACAGTGCAGCAGCTCTGTGGTCCAGCAGCTCTGCCCCAGTGGGAGGTGCAGGCATGATAGGGGGGGTGAGGAGAGGATGCCCAAGTGCCAGCTGAGCTCCCACCACAAGCAACGGGCACAGGAAGGCTCAGCAGCAGGACAGCAGCCATTGAAAGAGGAACCAGTCCTGGAGACAGGAGAGAAGGAAGCCCAGGGGCCTGGGTGGCAGGTGTAGGGATGTCAGGGGACAGTCCTGCAGCATTAGTGACCATAAGGATTTCTGCCAGCACTAAAAAAGGTCAGGCAGCAAGATCCTGACCAGGTTACAAAGTTACAAAAGGACCTATTTGGGCTCCAGCCTTGAGGTTTAGTAACATTTTATCTAGACTAACCTCAACTCAATGAAAATCCACCGGGCAGCTGCAACCTCTATCCCCTTCCCCCTCTCCACAGGGGTGCACCTCTCACACCATCAGCACGGCCCCCTCAGCACTGAGAACCATCCAGCCACCACGGAGCCACAGTACACAACAAACACCCAGCTTGTTGTGTTGGGTGAAATTAAGCCCATATGGCAGGGGAGATGCCAGGCTGAGGTGGAAGAGCACAGCCGGCAGGTGAATAGAACCCCCAAATTAGAGCAGTTTAAGCCTCCCTGGAACTATACCCTAACACCTGAACACACATTTTGCAGGGCTAAAATGCAAAACTAAACCTGCCCTCAACAGCCATTTTCCATAGCAACTGTGCACTTGGGCATAACAAAACCAACAGAAACAGTGGGAGAGGTGAGGAGACACTTTCCCTGGGACTCTCTCCAAGGCAGAAGAGAGGAAAAGCCTGGAGTTACACTAGCAGTTCACAGTGAGGAACACAAAGAGGGGCAGTGATGGTGCATGAGTTAAAAAACAAACTCGATCAGAACAAAAATCAAAGCAGCTATCCCAGGTAAGCAGTCCTCAGCTCTTTCCAGTGTGAAAAGAGACAAAAGGCTTCAGAGCACCAAGTAACGCCACACAGTGGTTCAGGGCAGTGAGGAATTCCCCCTCATGGGAGCTGCAGGGGGAATGCAGCTGGGATGTGGTCAGGCACCATGGTCACTGTCCTTTGCCTCTGCTCATCCAGAAACACGTTGTCTCCTGACTGCAGGCAGCCAAGGACAGGTCTGGGGTGGCTCACGTGCAGCACAGAGTCCCAAGCAGAACACCAAGGCCAAGGGGGAGACAAGCACCGAATGTGGGATCACAGATGCCACTGGCTGCAGTGCCTGGGACCCTTCAAGATGACAGAAACCCCAGCACATACATAGACACTAGTGAGCTAAGCCACCTCCCAGGAGGGCTGTCACCTGCTCAGGGCTTTCAAGAGCATCTCTTCCCAGGCACCAGAGCTCACATCAAGGCCACCTGGGCAGCTGGAAGAGCTACTCCAGACCCCTCTCCTCCTGACCACAGCCAACATGGGGAAGAGCCAACACTCTGTCACTACATCCTCTACTGACACTGCATCTCAACCAGCTGCATCTCAACCATGCACACTCAGCAGCTGGCATCTGCCAGCACACACCTGGGAAGAGACCAGGAGCCTCATTCGCAACAGCTGAGCCTAGGGGGGCACCAAGACCCCAAGAGGAGAGTTTCTGGGTCGTGGACTATGTTTTCCCTGTGCACACCCTCCCAACAAGCTAAGCCTGCTTCAGGCACCCTGGAGTGCTCCCTGCTGTCCTTCGCAGGGCTGCTGAAGACCAGGAAAATGGGCATGAGACCTCACTTTGGAGCAATCAACTGATTTTGCTGAGGAGTAGCTGCCACCAAGACCCCAGGAAGCATCTGTATGTGTAACCACGTGCACTTTGATTCCAGCATGAAAACTGAGCACGTGAAGAGAAGTGGTGGCTGCAGGACCTTCCCTCTCCTCTCTCCCTGCCCTCCTCTCCTCAGCCCCCTCCTGTGAGTCAGTCTCTGCACAGGCAACATGGCACCTTGCCAGCCACTGGAGCTGACCATCTGCACAGTGGGGACAGTTGTCAGGAAAGTAGCAGCGATCCCCCCAGCTGGTGTTTCTCCAGAGGAGCACTTCAGGACTCCTGCTTCCTGGGCTTTTGCAGCAGACTCCTCCCTCCTGCTGCCAACTGATGCCCAGTGAGAGCTCTGACCTCCACTGCTAAGAAACACCATCCCAACAAGTGGGGAAGGTTTGGCTCAGGTCCTTTTGTGCAGCGTGGAAGCAGGGAGCTGAGGATAAGCCCTGACTGCTGTCAGCAGGCACTCGTTGCTGATGGCTTGTGTGTCCCTTCCTCGACCAGGGAGACAAGCACAGCCGTGGCCAACAAGCAGGTCAGGTTCCCCACATCTCTGATGCTACCTGAACTGCAGCTGGCTGAACCAGCTGCTGACGGCACAGTCCACACGCATCACCAGGGAGATCCCCAGCAGGAGGCAGATGCTGCTCACCACGAAGCCCAGTGACTCAAAGAGGAACCTGCAGGCACAACAGAGGCTGTCAGGGTATCACAGCCAGCATGCCTGCAAAGACAGGCTGCTGCCCTCACTACCAGCAGACTCGTTTTCCTGATAGTGAGAGGCTGGTGGCACCCCCGATCCTAAAAACTGGATTACATTCAGTCCCCAGCAGTTGCTGCCTGCAACCTGCACAGCTCTGTTAAGAGGTTAAGGGGCCATTCAGGACACAACCCAGGTGAGAGTCTGAATCCCTCAGACGCCAAGGCCACCCCATGCTTCTACTAGTCCAAATGTCTGCTAGTTTAGCATCTCTAGGTTTACCATTCTTGGTCTGGTATCCCTACCTTTGGCTCTCTGCCCAGCTTCCAGGTGGGCTCTGTGTGTCCTCAGAAATTAAGATGTGTTGCTAAGGGACATAGTTTAGTGGTAGACTTGGCAGTGCTGGGCTAAACAGTTGGACTTTGATGATGTTAGAGGTTTTTTCCAACCAAAATGATTCTATGATTCTGTGATTCTAAGATCAGAAGACATTTCTGTGCTCTAACTGGAGTTCAGCTTCTGAACTTTCACAAGCAGAAATTAGTTAAGGACATTCCTACAGCCCCTACCAGTCACACAAGATTGATCACACAGTCTTTTCTACCATTAAAGTCTATGAACTCTAGACAAGATGTCAGGGATATGAGCCCTAACACAGCATCAGAGCAACTCCTGGGACTTACTTTGGGGCAAAGACCTTCCAGACCATGAGGTGCCTCCTGAGGATCATCGCTGCACAAACACAGGCCAGAAGCTGTGGGGGATATCAGGAAAAACAAGTTATAAGTGACTCTGGAGAGACCTCCTGGGCCCTGCGTTGACATTTGAAGGTGGTACTAAATTGCACACCTGGGAGGCTGGTACAGCCCACACCAGAAACAAGCATCCCAAAGAGGATTCCCTTCCATTGTGTCCTCAGGTCAGGAAACAAACAGCGTGGGGTGCACACAGGCTCTCTTTGGCTGTCCCCAGGCTGGGACAGCATAGAGGAGGGCTCAAACTGTGGCTGGAAGGGCTAAACCCCAGAAAGCGATTAACTCATTTCACAGGATTAGATTTCTAATGTTTAGCTCCCTACATCATTGCAGCACAGGACCAGATGAAGAGCAAAGCTGATGAAGAATAAGATAGGAATGGTCAGGAAGAGGGGGAGCAAGATGACAACCCTGTAGTTTCTAAACAGACATTGCCATTCTGGGCAGATGGGTATGAAAAGCAGCCTAATCCATATGAGGCTTCTATGCTGGAGCCCTTCCCAAAGCACAGAGCAAGGCTGAGATGAGGATCTGTGTCGCTGCTTTTCCACCTGCAACCAGATGTATCACCCCTGGTCTGTCTGTTCTGTGGCTGAGTGCCTCAGATGGTGGTGTTCTCCCAGAACACCCATTTCCTCTCAGATGGCCTCCCTCACAGGCATCCCACCTCTGCCCGTACCTGTGTGCCAAGGACAAAGAGGTACTTCAGCCCCAGCTGCAGCAGAGCAGTGGAGAACTTCTCTGGGGACTCCCTCAGCCTCATCTCCATCATGTGTTCCTCCACCTCCTGCAGCTCCTCCCGGGGCTCCTTCTTGGGCTTCCTCTTCTGCAAGCTGGGCATCTCACACACAAAGGGCCAAAGGAGGAGTAGAGGGCAGCCAACTACCTCAAGGACAAAGGCACATGAAGTTACTGGAGCCCAAGAGGTGAGGAGCAGTCTAGGCTCTGCCATCATGCCCTGGACGTGCAGGACGCATATACCCCAGCTCCAGTTTGCTGGTCAGGCACAGCTGCATGGAGGCTGCAGGCCATGGGCAGCTCTGCGGCCCCAGAAGGGGACAGTGAGGATGCTGCTGTTCAGCTGGTGCAGGAGCCTTCATCACCTTGTGCTCAGCCTGCAGGCCTCCAGAGAATGCAAAGCAGCCAGCCATGTCTGCTCAGGCCCAACAGCCCAGGAAGAAATTGATTTACCTGCAAAGAGGATATGGGAGGCAAAGGTGTTGGCGCCCACCAGGACAGCAGGCAGGAGGTTCGTGCTGTGGTCAAGGTGGAAGCCCACAAAGGCTGCATTCCAGTGGATGGCTGGGAAGATGGGCTGGTGGCCTGTGGAATAGAAGAACTGGGAAGCAGCAAGGAGCCAGGAAATCACCGCGTACCAGGGCACCGAAAAAGGCTCTGAAAGATTTTTTAGAAGACAGAGAGAGAAAAAGAGAGAGAGAGATTAGCATTGAGGAACATGACAGATCCATGGTCACAAAAAGCCCACTGGGTTTTCTTCCAAGTTTCCTCCTCATGCTCTCCGTTCTGACAGACAGAAACCAGTTGTGGTCCCACAGAGATGTTCTGAGGGGCCAGGCATTCTCACTGCTGCCTGCCCTGTTCCTGGACTCTGTGAGCAGCAGCGGGTTCAGTGGCTGCTCATACACTGGGGTGAAGGGATGGGTGTAGAGACCCCTTCCCTGACATAAGGCACTCCTCCTCCTCCCACGGTACATCCCTGCCACACACTTCCCTCTTCTATTAGAGGATTTAAGCAACTCTAAAAAAGCTAGGTAGGTCCTTGAGGATCAGTGCACCACTACTCCCCAAGAGCAGAGACCAGACCCTGCCTCTCCCACTCCCATAAGACAACGTCGCTGCAGATGAAGCCCAGATCACAGAGCATGCTCTGTGTAGCCCTGACTCACCGACATCTCCAGCAAGGCCTCTGGCACGTGTGTGGATGTGCAGCAGCACGAAGGCCTCCAGGAAGAGGAGCAGGAAGGCAAGGCTCAGCCGCTCACTGTGCAGGAGCATCAAGAGGAAGCTGAGCAGGGTGAGAGCTGTGAGCAGGGCTGCCGAGTAGACGCTGCCCAGCCCGTACGCTGCGATGGTGGCCCGGCAGCTGCCCCGCTCTAGGCGGCTCTTCTGAGACTCCTGCATCCTCTTGTAGATCTGAGGGATGACGTGGAGGAAGTCAACTTCAGAGCTGGGAACCCCCAGGTAGGGAGTGACGATGGATCCTGCTGATTCCTGCGTGTTCTTTGCCAACACCGTCATGGGATTGCACAGCAGAAGCAGCAGCCCCACCGACGCCAGACCATAAGTAGCAGGAGATGCAGAGGACCACCAGCGGGAAGCCCCAGCGCACAAAGAGCACCAGGGGGCCCGAGCTGTTCAGGTTGCCGTAGTGCCGCAGCCAGCTCCGCACTGTGTACACCAGCCCGGCCAGCAAGGCCACGCACAGGAGGTAGAAGAGGTTCTTGGCTCGTGTGTTTCTCAGGCTGGCAAGCGGGGAGAGGAAAAGAGAGGGCCGGCACTGAGGGATTTCTTCACGGCACTGATGGAAGAAACTGGAGAGGCGCACGCAGATGAGGAGCGCGGCCACGAGGCACAGCAGGTACCAGATCTCTCTCCGGTAAGAAGAGAAGCTGAGGAGCTGCTGCCTGGGGCCTTCTGGCAGAGTCAGGCGACCATCCCAGTGGAGCTTCCCTACCAGCAACACCACCAGCGAGGCCAGCAGGAAAGGGGCAACCCGGGCCTCGGCCACCACGAAGCTGTCAGAGAACATGGCCCCGCAGCGAAAGAGGAGGATGCTCATGGGGAAGGCCAGCCCCAGCCACGCCCGCAGCCTCTGCCTCAGGCCAACGC